GCGTGATCCACGAAAACTTGGGTGCAAGGGACAAAACAAGCCCTGGATCACCCTGACTTTTTGGAAACATCAGCAATGAGGAAATCATAAAGCCACGTGCAGGGAACTCACCGGAATTACAAATAGCTGTGAAATTGTTTATTAAATTAACAGACAGGTCAATGCGGAACAGAGTGCTGAGGAAATCAACTTTACTGTTTCCCATAAGGACTTTGGCACAGCTGCTTGGAGAACACCCAAGAAAAATGCATGATTGTGCTTTGCTTTGATACTCTGTTCTTCAGGAAAATAAAACCAAGAGAATTAATAACTTGATTTTTTTTAGCATTTTTTAAATCCAGATGCAGATCTGGATGTTCCCACCTCAGAGTAACTGTGGGTTAGTGGTCAAAAGCACTAATTTAGATCCAAACTGTATGACTTAAGCCCATCTTAAAAATAACTTTAAAATGTACAGTAAAATATCAAAATCTCCACCTATTGACTGAACAATGTGTTATGTTATGAATCATAGGAGGTAACCTATACCTACACACATTCATTCCAAACTATTTTTTTAATGATCTGGCTCCCATTTTGATTTCATTATTCGTTAGCAGTAAAGATTGACTCATGGCCTTCTGACAAGGCCTGTTTTATAGCAGAAGAGCTGCTAAACTAGCAGTCTCATCTAGGTGCATGTCCTGGTTGTCTAGGGCAGTTTCCAGAGGTTCATCATCTTTCCTCAAGTCCATAGCTGGCCAAGCTGCCTCTTCTGCTGCTCCTTGGTTCTCCAGAGCAATCTGTCTACCTGTGATGCAAGCTGGGTGATGGAGGGGCTGGTTACATCCCACCAGCCAGGGCTCAGTGTGAACCACTGAGATCCTGCCTTCTGGCTTTCGGAGGAGGGATTTCTATACCCAGCTATCAAGGCTGCCCCATTGCCGTGCTTCCTAAGGGATTCCCATGTTGGGTACTGGTTTCCACTGGCTGGGAAATGGGTTTTCGGGATGGTTTGTCTTCTCCTGTGCTGCTGAAGTATCACAACGCTGGCTCTAAGGGAATAATTAGAAGCAGAACTGGTGATACTTCTAGTATTAAAACGTGCTTCACTTTGTAAGACTCTGGGTTTAGCTCCTATTCATGTTGCCAGACTTAAATCGCTTAAGCTAAAAGTTCCCATGCTGGCTGTCTGTCATGTGGGCTTGCTGTTTGTTTTCAGAAAGTTTTGGCTGAAACACTTCAGCCATGTCTGGCGCTGCATTTCCAACAATTTTGTTTTGCTCATGTTAAAAAGAAATGAAAAAGAAAAGGGCTTCTTCTGGAGACTGGTCTTAAGACTTGGCACAGCAGCTGCTGTCATGCTCCAGATGTGCCTTTTGCTGGCATAGTAATAAGCCTTAGAATAATCTCGGTCCGTGAGCACAGGGGAAGGCTTGTCAGGTCCCAGCCCAGCCTTCTGGTGAGCCTCTCCCCCCCAGCATGCCCTCTTTCCCCCCACCTCCCCGGGTGGCCTGTGGGTGCCTGCCAGCCCCCCTGCTCCTGCCACGGGTGTGCTCCACACGCAGGCTGCGGGACTTTCCTCGCTCTCAGGGCCTGCTGGCGGGAGGAGCGCAGATATTGTGCTGCACCGAGCGGGTGGAGGGACCCGGGGCCACCTGGGCCCAGCGCTGTGGCCATGCTACAGTCAAGGAGAGCCCCTTTTGGCCTGGTACAGTCGGAGGGGCACCCCCGGAGAACTCGTCCAGGTGCACCAGCACCCCCAGCAGCTGCCAGACCCGCTCAGGCCCTGCTCCCCGCCAAAAGCAGGCGGCAGCTCCCGCCTCTGGCCCGGCCCTGCTCCCGGTGGCGGGTAAGGCGGCACAGCGAAGCTGAGGACGGGGGCCTGGACTGCTTTGCCCTCGGGCCTACGCCCCTGGGACGTGTGGGAATGTCTTTACCTCAGAATTATTATTTTCTTGGAAGAAACGGGGCGGGGGTGGGCGGCTACTTTCTGCTCCGGCCTCAGGCGGCGGCCGGGGCACGGCGGGTTTGCGGGAGAGGCGCCCGGGGCGAGGCAAGGCGGGGGGGACCCGGCCGCGTCCGCTCCGCCGCTCCCTGCCCCGCCGGGACCTGCCGCTGCCGCTCCTGGGAGATGTAGTTTGTCGCGCCCTCCCGCCCAGAGCCATGGCCGCCCCGTGAGGTAGGAGACGCGTGTCCTGGGCCTTCCCCCACACCCCTCCTCGGCGCGGCCGGCCGCGGCGCCGTGCGGGGGGCAGGCGGGCCGGCGGGGAGAGATCGGGCAGAGCGGGGCGGCCCCCCGTCCCCGACCCGGCCTGCTCCGCCTGCGTTGCTGCCTGCCCTCCGGTCCGGACTGCTCCAGGACCCTCCGCTCCCCTCAGCCTTCTCCTGCCTGCCCAGCCCTTCTGCCTGCCTACCCCTGACCGGCGTGCCTTCCTTTGCCCGTTCTCCTGCCCCCCTTCCTTGCTCTCCTGCCTGCCCGCCCTGCTTGCCTGCTGTCCTGCCCTCCCCTGGCTGCCGCCGCCCTGCCTGCCTGAGCCCCGCACCGGCCCGGTTCCCGCCCTGGCGCCGGCGGGGGTGCGAGGCGGCAGCAGACGCTCCCTCGCAACAACCTGCGGACGAGGGAGCCTGCGGGTTAAAAGCTGCTGGAGGCACGCTCGTTGGCTTGATGGCCGTTTATACGGGCGGGCAGGCCCGCTTCGGGCGTCCCCCGGCGTATTGCTGCAGGGTACGATGCACGGCCGCCTGGAAGTGCGCTTTACTGCGTGTGAATCCGCCGAGTTTTGTTGTTTTCTTAAAAGTGAGCAAATAAGTAAGAAGGAGGAGTCTGAAGTTATCATTCGTTGAAAAAGTTTGGTGTCCTCAACTGTGGGTTGCGGGTTGCTGGCTGTGCTGGGCAGCGGCGCTGCGGGGAAAAGGTGGCTGGGGAGCAGGGCAGAGCTGGGGGGGGGATGGAGGCAGGGGAGGCTGCCAGCCCAGCAGACCCTCCTAGGGCAAGGTAGTGGCAGCAAGCGAGGGCCTGCAGCTTGCAAGGACCCTGGGATGTGGCTGAAATGGTGCCCTGGGAGCCATGGTGGAACAGTCTAATGTGCCACTGACAATTCTTGGTTTTGATCTGATTTGATTTTAATCCAGGCACCATGATTGATACATCCTATCTGCTCTGTTCTTATTTTCCAGAGTTTGGAGCATGTGAGGAGCTGCCAGAGGAATCACTAGTATTTTAATTTCTGCTTCTTCAGGTGTGGAGGCCTTACATGGCTTTATGTTTTTGATTTCTTTGAGTTGGTGTTAGTTTAGGAATTTCTTTATCAGTGACGCTAGTATAAACTGAGTCATTATACAGGTCTTTTTATGGAGTGATGTCTTGACCCACCTACACACAGAGGCTGTAAACGTGCACAGGTCTGAGTGCTTCTGACTTAATGTAACCACTGTGTCTTGTGGCAGTGGTTTGTGATGGATTCTTAGTGCAGCAGCTCTGGCTCGCAGTTGCTTCCACTGTGTTTCTCTGCAGCCTGTGGGCTTTGCCATATTACTGTGTTTTCCCATGACCCAGTAGTCTGTTTTTTGAGGATGAGTGATCCTGTTTTGCAGATGGTCAGCCTAATGCATGACGCAGCAGGTCACGTGTAGTGGCGGGTCCTCCAGTGACTGTGCATGTGGGAAGCATGCGTTTTGCTTCCTGAAATGTGTGTGTTAAAGAAAGCAGCAACAAGAGGCAGGTGGAGTGAAACCCCTTTTCTAGCTCAGGACATACTTGGCCATCACTCCATTTTAAATGTAGTCAAATAACCCTAGTAGCTCGCTGCTTTCTGAGGCCTTGTAGCTGGTGACTTTTATAGCTTTTCACAAAGCGGGTAAAATGGAGTTGCTCAGAAATCCCCAGTAGACAAAAGAATATCTCGGGTCCTGTTTTGTTGAGTAGATGGAGTTATTGGCAAGCTGAGTGAGATGTTCTGCCAAGACAACTCAAGTGGGTTTATGAGTACCCAGATGCCTGTGTAGATGTTTTCTGGTGCGTGCAGGCCAGTCGATATTCTGCCACTGCATAAGCAAACAATGGTGTAAGTGGCTGGGCTGTGATGTGGTTGCTGTGGTGGACTGGAGCTGTAATTCAGTGGCTGAGAGACCTGGATTCAATTCTGTGCTCCACCACAGACTTCCCATCTGACTAGGGCCCAACTCCTTTGTCTGGGGTGGTCTGTGTTGTGCAACACAGTGTTGTGCAGAGATCCTGGGGCTGGTATCAGCTGAAGTCTAGCTCTGGGACTTGGTGCAGCTCTCCCTGGGAGCTCCTTAGCCCTGCTGAGGACATGAGCTGCTAGGGCTGTGTTGGTGACACTGTCTGCCTGCTCTGGACCCAGAAGACCTCACAGCATTTGGAGCTGACGGAGGATTGCTGGTACAGCACTGAGGTGTGCGATACGGGCAGACCCTCTCTTCCTTTCCCATCTGCAGTAGTTTGACTTGCTTCACAGAAGAGGTCTGACTGTAAATAGGCTAGTGATTGCGAGGTGCAATCACAGTGAAGAAGACCACCGATATGTGTGAGAGTGATATCATTTTACCCCTGCCCTGCATACGAGTCTACAAGTACATGATGGCTAGCTTATGGAGTGTCTGTCGCGGAGTCTCTGGCACGGCTTCAGGCAGAGCCTAGTGCTCCTGTTTCTTTCTCACGTGGCTCAACATGAGACCTCCTTGCCTGTGAGTGAAGGTAATAGTGACCTTCCATGGGGCCCAGTCTCCGTTCCCAGTAGCACTGTGTTTGTTAAGGGAGCTTGCATTTTCCTGGGGAACGAACAATGCCTGACTGTAGATGTGTTCTGAACTCATATCTGAGCCTTATCTGCCTCTGAAAAAGCAAACATGAAACTTCAGCTGTTTATTTGCCTGCATGCTTTTAAGATATCACAACCTTGAAAGTACAGTGTCTGAGCTTTTTGCTTTTGAATTGGCGACCTCAGTGCTAACAAAAGTTGTTTTTCAATTGTGAAGTGAATCCTGCCTTTTTCTCTCCTTTTCACACTTTCTTCTCCCTGCCCCATGCCCCAGCTCCACCCATTTTTTCCTGTCCTGGGGTTTCAGCTGTATTTAATAAGGTCTGGATCAAGATAGAGACCAGAAGAGTCAAGAGACGAAATGGGGAGAAGTGCTTGACCACTGGAGGCTGGTGGCACAGGATGTGGGAATGCAATGTGGAGGGAGCGGTGGCTTCCCTGCTCAGTTCCAACTGCAGAAGACACTGTGAGAACAGAACATCAAAAGCGTCAGCTCTCACAGGAAACATTTTGGATCAAAATGCCACTCTTCAGAACAAAGGGAGAATTTCTTCCTGTCCTTTGTGATTTCAGTGCAGCTACTCCTGTTGGATACACAGTTCAGGCAGATACAGGCTCGTGTCTCAGCAGGGCGGAAATATTACAGAAGTGTTGCGCTGAATGCTTAAATAATCAACTTGTAACCAAGAGCATTTGCAGGAGTGCACATTGTGATACACATTATACGCTGCTTCTTGCTGTTGGGCTGGTACCCTGCAATCAGACCCCACAGATGGGCTCGCATAACGTTTGCTGAGTCTAAAACTTTTTCTGTACATAAAAAAATCACTAAAACCCCATTTTCAGCATCATATGCCAGATGCTAGCCTGTCTTTGAATGGCTGAATTCTTGCTTTTTTACAACATGTTGCAAAATTGATTCCAACTGAAGCACAGAATTTACAGCAATTTAGGAGAAGAGTGAAGACTGTCTGATGAAGCCCCCACCCAAGTCAGCATTCTGAGATGAAGACACCCTGGTTAGGTGGTGCAGTCCTTTCAGATGAGGCCAGGCTTGTGTAACTTGGGTTTCATTGAGAAGCATGTAGCCATCTGAACCATGCATTGAGAACCAGTCTTTGCTCTGATGTGGGATTTTTGCTGTGGCCATCTGGCAGGGGACTTCAAATCTTAGTGGTTGTTGAAATTCTGGAGGAAACATCAGGAGTTAAAATGCCCTTTTTTTGGAGGTGTAACACTACCGACTCATTAGTTCACAGCTGCCCTGACATTTTATCAACAGGAGAAGGGAGCTGCACAACTCGGGATCAACACAGTAAATACTGAAGGACAAACGAGTTGGCCACACCACTGTTTCAGTATAGTTCCATCTTGGTAACAGAGAACTCTGGTGGTGCCTCTCTGTGAGGAGGTTTCCAGGGTGTTTTCTCTGCAGGGTGAGGATTTTGCAACTGGGGGAAGAGGAGAGAAGAGGAAGGCCTAGCTGGGGAAATAAGGGCATCTGTGAAGAAGCTGGCTGAGCAGCACAGGAGCTGCAAGAACGTTTATTTGACTCCCTGTTTCTGAAGAAAGGTCAGCAGCAGCTATTGTGGTGTGGTGGTGATTTATTCAGTCCAGCTGCTGGTCAAGGTTTGGACTAAGCTGTAGGGCTTCTTCCTATTTTTTGACAGTGATTCTGTTATTACACATACAGGAAACACCTTGAGGGAGTCAGGCAGGGAAACATGCTTAATTTGAAATTCAGCAGCTGAAACGGTGTCAGTGCTGGTAGAGCAGCAAGCAGAGACTGGAGGGCAGTGTTGTGGCTTGTGCTGCAGCCTTCAGCATGCCCTCAGGCATTTCTCAGCCCTGAAGTTCAGCTCTGAAACATATGTTGACCAGTCAAGGGATCCAGCAACTGATTGGTTCACTTCTGTGTTATTATGGGCTGCATGGAGAATTTAATGTATTAGTAAATCAGAGATAACCAGTAAATTATAGTAGATGCTAGGATCCATTAGGCATTCAGGCTCCGAACAGGGCAGGCTGGGCTTAAAGACCACCAGACAGCTCTTCTGGGTGCACTTTTGTCCGCTAGATCTCAGACAGACATCAGTGAGGTGGTGTGATGTGCACAGGTGTCAAGCTTTCAAAAGCAGCCAGCATTGTGTTTTCGGTTGGGCAGCTGCCGGGATGTGCTGCACATGGTGGAAGCCCAGCCTCTGCTCTGCGCAAGCGTGGCACCTGCCTGGGGCCTGTCAGACCCCTGTCTTTCAGCAGCTTGGATGTTGCTCCTGTCACTCAGCTCCAAAAAGGCCCACGTAGGTCATTCCTGAACCGTGTGGCACTGATAAGCTGCCAGGCGCTGTGCAGCAGATGAGCTTGTCAGAGATGTGCAGTGTGGACGTGCTGAGTAGAAACAGATTGGTTAATTCTTTTTTAATATCCATTTCTTCAAGATGCTCCTGCCCTGGTCTGTGCCTTTAGAAGCGTGGCGCTCATTGGTGCTAGGTGCAGCCTGCTGCAGGACAGGCAATATCGTCACGCAGCCAAGATGGTGGCATTTAACTGGAAGGTAAGGATGTTTCACATTCATAAAGCAGTGAATTTCTGCTCTTTCAAGCAGATGCATGTAAGATGTGGTTGGATGGGTCCTGTGTTTAAAAATGGTTTCCTTGCTTAGGTGAAGGTTGTTTAACCACTGCACTCTCTGCACCTCCAGGACAGAGGACTCGTTGTTGTTGTTGTCCTTTCTTGCCATACATGCTTGCACCTTGCGGGCTGGCCCCAGTACTTGCTGTTGGGGCCTCACACTTTAGACCTGAGCGCAGCACTGGTGGGCAAGCTCTGCTCTGCTCGCGTCTGCTCCTCCTGGCTTTCCTCTTTCCAGGCTTTCCTCTGGCTGCTCCTTCCTCATCTCCTTTCGTTACTATGTCTTTTAGTGTATTGGGGCCATAAATACTCTGCAGGGTGGGTGTGTAAGGCACAGAAACGTTTGAGCAAGTACCTCATGCATTAGCAATTTTAACATGTTAAATCAACCATTTATCAAGAAAGCAATGCTAACCCCCAGCCTTGGCTTTACCTTTCTGGTGTTGCAGAGCTGTGGTTGAAAGAGATTGCCACTTTTAATATGTGGGGAGATTGACACAGGATGATGGGTTTTTGCAAAATTAGAGGGGAGTGGCCTGATGTCAAAGGTAACATGCAGCTTGTAGAAATCAGCATTCGTGTACCTTCAACATCCTTCTGGAATTGACATCTTTCACTGAGTGCCTGTGCCACTTGTTACATTTCTATTCCAAGTTCACAGTGTTACCAATTTGCATTTTATTTTCCACTCCACGTGCACTTACAGTAGCATGCTTTTATAACATTGAAATATGTTGTGCAATTTCAGTGGTTCCGGGCATAAAAACTCCTTAAATGGAAGGCTGTGGGTTTTTTACTTTTCTTCCAGTTTAAAGGCACTTATCTATGCCTTCCAGATCTGGGCAAGTGAATTGCAAACCTACCGTGGATTAAAATTTCTAGGAGCACAAAAGTGTCTTTGGGGATCACATCTGATACCTGATATGCATGGATCCATCGCTCATGTGAGAACTGTTCAGAAGCGTTTCCACTTTTACAATTATCCTAAGATACTCAGTTCTTCCCCTTTTTCAGCTTGAGATCGTGCCAATGTTCCATTTGCTGTAAAGCAAACAAAAGCAACAAAGACCTGTTCAAAGGGGCTTCATATACAAACTTGAGTGAACTTGTTTTTGTTGTTTCCCCTAGATGTTGATCTGCCTAGTTTAAAGTTTCCTACAGAAAAAAAGCATGAACAGAGAAGCATTACCATTGCTTTGAATAATGCTGTTGCCGTAGGAAGCTGTATAGCATCCCTGTAGATTAATTTTTAATTATCCAAGTGTTCCAGTAACTGCCTAAATATATTATTTTGTATTTCAGGCTTTGGAGAATTTCCCATTGCTGATGTACATTTTGGCAGCTAAAACATTGATTCTTTGCTTAGCATTTGCTGGAGTAAAAATGTACCAGAGCAAAAAAATTGAAGAAAAACTGAAGAGGGAACGTGAAGAGAAATTGAAAACAGAAGCAGAGAAGAAGGATGATTGAAGAGTCTTCTCAGGTATAGAATTTATTTGGCATTCTGGTGTTCGATAATGGCATTGACATATTAATCCCATTATGTTTTGACTTGGTTGCATTTGGATTGTGCAATTAGAGCTTTCACCGTTATCTGAGTTCTTGTAATATTTGTCTCCTGTGATATTTCAGCGTATTTGCACACCCATATCCTGCCCATTCTTTGTAGGAATTGCAGTTATCACCAGAAAACTTGACAGCCATAGTTCGTGATATAGGAGGTCTTAGCACAGTATTCCTTCTCTGCTCTTAATCTCCCTGAATTTTTACGCCAAACCAATTGCACAGGAAGTCCTGATGCATAAAGAGATGGTTAAATTGGGAAAAAAATGTATGAGGGGCATGCCAGACAGGATGATGCAATAAGACGTCTTGGCCTTAAGTCATGTAATTAAGAGAAAAGAATCAGCCATTCCATATTAGTTAAATACATGACAAGTTGTAGATAATTTAGGTGGAAGGGCCAAATCTCATGCCATGGAACTTCCCAAGGTAACAGAAATGCTACAGGTTTTGCTATCTAACATCCACCATATATACTTCACTGAGGAAAATGGACATCTTTCTGCATAGAAGAGCAAAATTTCTTAAAGTTTTGGGTTTTCATTCCCCATGTGCTGAATTCCTTCCCTCTGTTTCAAAGTTTAAGCAATCATTGCCTTATTGGATCAAATCCATTAGCAAAATGAGTACTGCCTAGTGCTAAGATTATATTCCCTGCCTTGTTTGGTGTTGTATCAGTTCATTTCACATCTCTGTTCTGCAGCAAAATGGGAATTCTATTCCTGCCTGCCCTTTGTAAGCTCAGTAGGAGTTTGATGTAATGTTACTCTTTATTAAACTAAAAAACTTAACTTTCCCCTTTTGCGGTCATCACCTCACATATGAAGAGAGTTTCAGTTTTTAGAAATGTTTACTAGTTTTGATTTCAAACCTATCACTGTTTTATTTTGTGCAACAAGGATTGGAAATTGTGACTAGAAATGGGGCCCTGGAAATAACTATGGGAATGAAGTGGTTCATTCGCATAGAAAAAACAACAAAACCAAAGGTGGTTTTCGGTCTCCTGTTTACATCAGATTGAGCACTTGTCTCTGGGTAGACTTGTGCCATTTTAAACTTTTGTTTTAAATAAGTTTTGCTAGCCACTGGAAGATGCTGTGAGAACACTTCTTTCAGGTTTTGCAGAATAAGTCAGAGTAAATTATATGGAGTTTTATTGCTAAACAAATGAGCCTGCTGTTTGTAATGAGGAGACCATACTGTGCTGTGTGTGCATAGTTGGGTCCCAGGGAGTTCTGTTTGGCAGAGTCCATAGCCCAAGGGATTACTGCACCAGGGTAGTGAGCTCATCCCACAAGGCCTCTGTGTCCAGCATGTGACGTTGACCTTGTTGAATGACTGGCATTAAAGCATCTCTGATTTCACAGAAGATATCCTACTTGCCTAGTTACCCAGTGTTGCCCACCAGAGGCCCAGTCCTTCCTAAATTCTGCCATCTCTCAGACTGTCAGCCATGTCTCTCTATAACGGGATTGCAAGAAGGGGTGAATTGTCCTACCCCAGAAATGTTCTCCAGTGTCAGCACTGCAGAGCTGTGATTAGCTCTGGTTGCAGCGTGCCACGTGGACAGGCAGATTTAGCCCATGTGCTGCCAGCATATTATGCCTGCTGTTCTCACTGCTGTTTCCCCACCCTGCAGATTTTCTGACACTTGGCAGCTTGCATTGGATTCCTTTCCTGGGAGATCGAAGCCTTCCTGTAGATGAAGGATGTGTCAAAGGAATAAAACCCTCAAGGGTAACATTCACTTAAACTGTATCTCAACTTTTTATATGTACAGCAAAATATCTAAGCCTCTATTTATGCAATAAAAAAAAAAAAAAAACAACCTGATAGCTTTAGTTGCTGCTTACTCAAATGCTACAGTTAGAGCTGCAGGGGAGGCAGTTTTTAAAGATCAGCTGCAAGGAGGTGGCTGGTTTTAAAGAGAAAAATACTCCGAATCCATTACGGGTGTGTACAAGGTTCATGGACAGACAGAAGGAAATGGGGAGAGCTCTGTGCAACTTCTTTAGAGCAACTGCTTCCTGCAAGGGTGTAAATCTGAGATTTGGGGGCCCTTTGTTGAATCCAGATGAGCAAACTCAGAAGAGGAGCTTTTCCAGGCAGGTATTTCTCAAACTACTTTCTGCACCTACAACTTCCTTAGATTAATGCAAATCACAGTGTCACCTTTGAGGAATTTTCATGCTTAGAGATTTAGTACATTACTTTGCTATGCGCAGCATCTGAGAACTGTGTATGGCTCTCTATTTACTACCTGACCTATGAAGCAGAGAGGGTTTTCATTACCATTGCTAGCTATTCCTGCATGTGCAATAACACCAGTTCCTGGAGGATAAGCTAACTTGGTCACAGTAGGTTAATCAACAGAGCAGATTTTTTTCACAGAAATAAAGGCTTAGTTAGGCATGTGTAGAAGTGCCAACAGGTACGTTTGCCTTCATGTTTCCATTATAAAGTACTTCCTAGATCCTTGTATGTTCTGGAAGTTGAGGTGAAGCTGAAATCTGACAGTGGAGTGGGGAGAGGAGGGAAGAGAAGAGGTGGAGGGCCCTTGGAGAAGCCTTGGGATTCCAGCAGGATCTGGGAAGCCTCTGGGATGGCTCGCTCCTGCCCTCTCCCTGCAGCTGCGGGCTGAGGTGCCTGCTGTGGTGACACCAGTGCATGCTGATGCAGTGTCTGTCTAAGTGCTACCTAAGTTTGTGTGCAGCTGATACAGCTGATGCTTGGAGAGCTCTCGCTGTGGCAGAGTTACTCCCTGGGAACTGCAGTGATTTTTAAATTCTCGCTGTTCATGCGGTCACCTTGGTGACTGGGGAATATAAGTATTGCAGAAACCCACTCCTGGGATAGCGCAGTATCCTTGCTATGGCAGCCTCAGGACTGCCAGGCTAGGGAATTCATAGTGCCACTGTAAAACAGCAGTTTCCCTCTACAGTCTCAGCAGTCATCTGTCTATGCAAAGGTGGAATTGAATGGTAATTTAATTAAATGGCTCTGTGGTGTTCAGTGATAACAGACTCTGCTAACCACCTCCATTAAACAGCAGTTGGGGGAAATGCACCAACGTACTTGGCTAAGCCACATGCCCAAACCTTAACAGGAAATTGTCAGGCCTGTATAGTGTCCACCAGCTTCAAAAGCAAGTAATGTCTTGGCTCCATGCAGTCACTGGTTGCCTTTGAATATTGGCCCCAATCTAGACTCTCAACCAAGAGTAGGTTTTTCTAGACCAATAGTAATAATGAGCTTTTTTTGTTTTTTGAACTGAAAGCAGAGGTATTCTCTACTTCAATACAGTTGCTCTGTAAGCACAATCAAAGGTACAATCTCCCTTTAAAGCAAGTCATTTAGCATCAAAGCAATTGGACACCAGCTGAGCACCATTTAGCACCCAGTGCAATCAAGACGAGTGTTAAAATCTGTGGGTCCTACGTTGCCAAACATGTGCAAGAAGGGAATCAACACAAGAAGCCTCTTTTTTGTCCCTGGCCTGAACTGGGGAGAAAGCAGCTATGAGCAGTCTCCTCAGAAGTCCTCTGCATCACCACTTTTTTGCCTCTACAGCCAAATCAGAAAACCTCTTTGTACATGTAAGACTTCAAATCTGGTCCAACCTGGATGTTTTTTTCCTTGTCAGGGTAGCACTACAGCATCGATAACCCCTAGAGCTTGTGATGGGTGTCGCAGCAGGCTGATGTCCTAGAGTTTCCAAACTTAGAAGAGATCTTATCCATTCTGAGACCTGAACCAATAGCTGTTCTCTGATGTACCAGGGTAGAGTTTTGATCTATGCTATCACTGGATAAGTTACAGCAGGGTTTTTTACGCTTGGGCATCCTATGTGCTCCAGTTGCAGCCTTGAACAAGAAAATATGCTGACGCTGGGGGGAGACAGCAGCTCAGATTTGTTTCAGTTTCTTGTTCAGAAACCAGCTGGGGACCTTGAAATCTGGTTTCTTATTGAAAGAAGAGTTATACAATTAGTCCTGGCAAGTTAAAAGAGGAATAGAGAATTCAATTTGATTGAGTTTCTGCAAGTGAGAGGAGGCAGCAAGGATAGAGAGCCTTGAAATGCTCATTGTGTATGAGTGTGCAGCTTGTTAGACAGCAGATCTACACAGGATCCTCATGTAGATGTTCCCATCCCAGAAAGCAAGCCAGGTCACACTCTTCTGGTGCCTACAGAACTACAGTCTCTCCTTCTCCCCTGTTCCCTAAAATTACTCTTTTCAAAAAGAGCATTCATGTGTAGATGGGCAGCTTAACTTTACGCAGTATCTCACTTGCACAGGTCTTTCACTATTGGATATTGTCATTGTCACCAGTGCCAAGTGCTGAAAGCTGAGAAAATAAAAGGATTACTGGCTTTCAAACTTACAGTGTTTGCACCTTTAGGCTTTCTTTTACTGACATGAAGGCCATGTGTTTTTAAACAAAAGCCGAAATCCTTGTGTAGTAATACAGAAAGGAGCTGTTGGGATTTTAAGGGAAAAAAATAAACTCTCACAGGTTCTGAGATGACTTAAGTGGCTGCTGCAATAGGGCTTGTCCAGCCTGAAGGAGCCCAGTGGCTGTGGGCTATCTGTGGTCCTTAAAGTGAAAAATAAGTGAAGAAGCATTCAATGGGACTGTTTTCTCATTATCCATTTTAGACTTTGGCTGAAATGAACTCGGCTTGATTTTAGTACCACTGAACAATTTTAGTCTGAAGGCCGTGAGACTCTTGCCAGAAACACACCACCACTGGTGCTGGAGGAAGGCAGAGCTCCCTGAGCAGTGCCCCAGGGCAGGAGAGATTGCTCTGGAGAGATTGTGCTGCAAGTCAGGGAGCTAAATATTTTTCAGCTCTTCCAAGAGCCTCATATGCAAATGACTATTTCCAACATTTCCTTCCTCGCTTTTCCTCTTGGGCATCAGCAGTTCCAGCTGTTTCTTCTTGCTCTTCTCAGTAAAGGCCCTGGAAATGTGCTGTCTGGGGTTGAGTCCTTCACAGTTCTCCTTGATCCCAGCTCTAACCTGTGACACTCTGTCAGCATCTCTGCCTACCTGCTGACTGTCAATCTCCTGGCCTCAACTCTGGCCAAAGAGGAGCACTGCAGCAAACTCCCATAGCCCCCTTTTCAATTCTGTTATGGAAAAACCAGTAGACTACGCTGAAACAAACCTTACTTGTTTCAGCCTTCACCAGTTCTTCACAGTCTTTGCAAAATTGCTTCCAAAGATGCATGAACTTGCTGCATCATCTCCCTATTTATTAACTATGTACTAACCTCAGCGTTCAAGTCAAGTTTAGTGAGGAGCTGATAGACCTCACATGAAGGACTTGACTACCCTGTGACAGTCTTGTGTCTGACATGCTCCTGATCACGTGGGAAACAAACAAATGTACAACCCACATGAGTGCGTGGAGTCAGATCAGGTAAACTTTCTAAAACCTGAGTTTGTGTTTCCTCCATGGACATGTGCCAAAAGCCATTTTCAGATAGGCTGGCTGTAAGTGACTACCTGGTTTGGGCACTCAGAGGTGGCTGGATGTTTATGCGCAACCCACAGTTTGGCTTTGGCTTTTGATGCTGCTTTGTTTTGGCTACTGGAGCAAGCCCAGCATATCATCTATTATTTGGCATATGTGTGTACCAGTCTCAGGGATAACCAAAGCACTAGCTGGCCCTCCTCCAGCTGATAACAGAAATACCTGGTAGTTGCCAGAACAGTTATCCCCATAGCAATGGACTCCTCATATGTTCCTGTAGAGAAAAAGTTTGTTTGGGCACAAATAAGTGATTAGGCATATATTCATGTGTATCTCCATATGGCAACAATTTCTCCCTCTTTGAATCTGATGAGAAAGCTAATGAAAATGCCTGTGTGTACCAGCATCAAAGGCTGCCTTACTGTGAGACTATTTCCAGTCTATCCAAAGGCTCTTGAGATGGCTGTCGCAGAGCAGAGAATGTATATAGCTGCTTTCTATTGTTAGTAGAAACAGACCATGGGTGACTATCCTTTTTTTTTTGGTCACTTTTTTTCCTGGACTTCCTCATGTTGGTTGGTTTTGCTCTCCACTGCCTCAGCTTCTACTGGTGTGGCACTTTCCCAGTCCTGTGGCTCTTTTGATTTGCTGTGACTCATATTCCTTTGGCCTAAACTCAGGCTAATTTCCTAGCTTAATGTTTCTCATTGATTTGAGGAGGTTTAGAACTAGCCAACAAGAAATGTCAGGCACTGACAGTTAAGTGCAGTTTAAGTCATATAAATGAGTCTGGCCTGTACATGTATTTGATTTCTAAAACAGTTTTCTTATTTTGTATTTCTTACATAGAACATTGTTCCCGTATCCCTCCTTTTTTCCTCTGTGCATTTCTCTCCATACCTCCTCCATATGGTCACTGCAGAAGGAAATGTCAAGGAACAAGTCCAGAGAGACAGAGGCTGGGCTTTCAGCGATGTGGATTGCCTTTCCACTTCCTGGCCAGCCTTCTCCCAGTTCTCAGGCATGGCACAAAATGGGCCCCACTCACTCACAGAAGCTCACACCTTATGTCCCATCATTACATTCCTGGCTTGGGCCTCTGTAGGCTTTTGCCCCAAGTGCATTTGTCCCATCTGTACCCTGGCTTGCAGCGTGCTATTAGGACAGAGGACTTGGAAATAGGGAAAAAAAATCTGTCGAGCCAATCATTACAAGCCTGCTTCATGAGCTGGAGGAAAATAAATGTTTTTTTCCATGAAGATGAGGCTTGGAAAAGTATTTAAAGGTAATTAGTTAATGAGACATCATGAAAATTCAGGTGATTTGCATTCCAGCTAGCTTAGAGCAGAGGGACATCTGTTATAGCTTCTTCATCAACATATGCATTTGCATCTGTCTCTCCTCTTCATGCAAAGATACTTTAATCATTTATTCTAGTGGTGCATTTCAGTCACACAGAGAGAGTCATGAGTGGGAACAAGAGATTTGCTTTGATATCCTGCAATGGTCAAGTGTACCGAGCCTTGCTACAAGAGCTATTGCTAGCAAACCTAATAAAATAATAGGTATTTAAAATCCTACCAAGAAGATATTAGACTCATGCATGCTATTTCAAGTGCTCTTGAATAAGGTGCATGCTATTTGGTAACATCCTCCTATTAGCTTGTTTAGTCATATGTTAAAGGAATTGCTTGTCATCCTAAATTACCAGTTGAGTCAGAACTGTATGAGCCACAATATTTTTCTTCGGTACAAAGGGTTACAACGTTTTGTAGAAAACATGGGTTGTAATTACCCTTATGCAGCAGCAAAGGGGGAGGGAGGAAGAAAGAAGACTCATCTCAGAGGATTTTATATAAAATACCAAAGTTCATTTGCTTTCAGACTCGGTTCTTTTTCCTGCCCACAGGTTTCCATACACATTAAGTAGGACTGGGTAGAAAAGTTTTGCCAGTCCTCAACCTCCCAGCGGGAGGCTGGGAAGAGTTAAGGTGTTTGTTTAGCAAGGCTTTCCCAGCCCTTTGCAGGAAAAGGATGTTTTTCCCTCACTCTCTGAGAGATGTGGCACCAAACACTTCCTCTTTCCTCATGCTTGTTTCCAGGAAATCCTTCATGGAGACTTTACTCTCCTTTTACCAAAGAATACAAACCAGGAAAGACTGATAAATTCCTGTGACACAAATTACTTCCTTTTGATACTTCCTCCTTGCTAAAATGGATGGAAAGCAGGTGATTCTGTACCTGGTCCCATGGACTCCACTGTGAATTAGGTATGGCAGAAGAAACACCCTACCAATGAAGAAGTGTTGCAATGTGGCCCTAAACCCGCAGCTGCGTAAGCCGTGGCAGTAGAGACCGGTAAGGCTGAGCTGTGGTGAGGCAGCAGTTTGGGACTCTGCTCCGTTCAGGTTTGGTCTTGTTCTTTTTCACGTGAATCCAAAACACAGCAATGAAGTCATTGGGTTTGTGATGATTTGACTATAGTGCACTGTTACTTCTCCCCAGTAGTATAGTGCCATATCATCGGGTGAAGGTAAACAGTCATTGGGAAAATGGGAAGTGTATTTGTTTCTTAAGAAAACCAAGGTACTGTGCAATTACTGCCTATCTTTGTGGTAAAGAGACACCAGACCTATTTCTTTCCTCATGCTGATTTCACACCACTTCATATTCATCGATATTTAGTGGAGCAATTGCTGCTTCAAGCCAATGTGAAATTATATTGAGGGCCATGATACCAGGACAATAAAAACATTCCTTCCCCTCTCCAATCTCTCTGCTCCCCCCACTTTCCTCCTTGCATTTAAAACACCTAATTCTCCATTCTCTGCTACATCCATATTTGTAAAAAATGAGCAGATGTTTTTGCTGATGAAGCTGAGAAAAGATGGTTATTTTTCTCTTTATATCCACATCTCAGCTCTAGAGAATTAGATGTGTGGATTCTTCTGAAGGTAGATGAGACTCCCTTTTTTAGATATCTCTGCCCCACACCAAATCACAATGCTCGTTTAGATGGTTTCCACACATAGGAGAAAAACTGCACAGATTTGCCTCAGTGTATTGAAATGTTTTAGTGAACCTGTGAATCATCTCATAACTTATTTCTTTTATGTTTTATGGTCTTAGTTCTCTTAGAAGTACACAATAAACACGTACCCAGTAATGAGCAACACAGAGAATGTAAATTGGGAGCCTCTTTCAAAAAAACAAGAAAGTGTTCAATGAACTTGAAAAAACTGCTGTTATGAAATACTTTGCATCACTCATAAATAATCTTTTGAACTCAATTCCATGAGAAATCATTACCTCTCAGTAATTGATGTCATGGATAAAGAAAATCTCCAATGATGAGTGCCATATTTTATCCTGAGAGACTGAACTCTTCATGCTTTAAAGCCTGAACCAACTACTAATTGTTAGGCTTCAGAAAGGATCTTCCCTTTTAGAAAGATTTCTTTTACCTGTCACTGAAATGTTTATTGCAGACCTCTGTTGGAAGGAAGGTACTCAGTGTAATGAACTACTGAGCTGATATCAGATGTTAATGCATATATGATGGGAAAGTCGCATTAAATTCTTCAGACTTCTTTAAGCCATGGATGCTGGTGTCAATCATGGTCCAGCATATTCCCTGCTCAGGAGCAGATCTCCCACTGGGGTCAAAGACAGGCTTGACCTACAGAATTCATTTTGCAGCCCAGTCTTTCTTGAAATTGAGGACGTTTACACCTGAAGCATGGTCTCATGACTCCCATTAACAGAGGAATTTGTGCAGAAGGCTGGCTAAACTGGCTCTTAGGCATGCTTTGGCCCATTTTTTGTGATAATGCAAATTAACTGTCCCTTCCCAGCACAAGCATAGCACATATCAACCTAGTCTGGAATACAGCTAAAATGAAACATTTGGATTTAAAATTATCTCTTTTATTAGTGCTATTGATGTGGTTTTTTAGGTTTACAACCTTTGAAGGAAAGGGCTCAGCAGAGCTGAAGCAGGGTAACTCATTCAACACCAATCAAAACACATTTGAAGCCTGACTGCAGGAAGAACCGTTTAAGAAACTGTGTCAAGGTAGTAGTTCTCCCATCTCTTCACTCTGTTAATTGCTACCTTCCATCTGTTTGGGGTCATCTTCTCTATTCCTTTAACAATCATGTCACTGAAGAGGATACACCTATAGGAGTGGGTCCTCTCAATAGACCTCAGGGCAAAGTCCTTCCTGTTGTTTATAATTAATAAACCATTTCAAAGAAGACCAGGTGACATCCATAGGATAGAGATACTTGTAAGATGAAGGCACAACAAGAAACTCATGGCCATTGGCTCTAGCAACTTCAGGGCAGCACTCAGTGCTGGACATGTAGATCACTGGTGGTACTGGCAGCAGAGTTCCCGTCTCTGGCTCTTGCCATCTTTTGCCCCCCCCCATGCATCAGCTGTGTTTTATCCCTCGTCACAATTATGCACTTCCCATAGGATGTGCTCAAAGATTTACACAACTCCTGAAAGACACCATTCTGCTGATGGATGGGCAGTTCACCTCTTAATTGCGGTTTGTACCTCCAGGGCACCCACCCTTGGCAGCTGCCAGCGTGAACAAGTGTCTATACCAGCCAGCACAGGCTGGCCTCCTCCGCTATTTTTTCTCCTGATATAAGACTCTCTGGAATATGTTTCCCCTAAAAAAATGGTGTTGAAACCGTTAAGATGCAGAGTCCTCAGAGCTCTTAGATACTGTAGGCACTGCCTCTTTGAAGCAGTATCAAAGCAGCCCCTGCAAATTATGTGCCTGAGGAGCGGATTTGCAAAGCGCTGCATGTTGGTGTCTCAGGGCTCGTGAAGGATGCTTGCAGGGCTCAATGCGCCTGTCGCCCTGGTGTTACTCCACGATGTCACACCCACCCAGCAGCAGCAGCAGCAGGGGCTTCCAGGTGGCTGATCAAAAGGCATCTTGGAAAACAATGGTCCCACCAGGCTGGGTAGGCTGCAACTGTGTGGCTAGCAGCTTCTGGCATCAGGACATTGCTCATCTTGAACATCATGGTTCCTTCTCTCACAGCACTGGGTGGGTGCTTGGGCCCTGTGTACATATGTGGGTTGGCCAAGCACTGCCGAAAGGGGTCCAGAGGGATGGGGATGTGGAGGAAGGAGCTGCCCAGAGTCAGCATGGAGAGTGAGCCAACGTTTGAGCTTTGAGACCAGTGGTAGAAACCATTCCCTCCCTCCCTGGCAAGTGTGTGGCCTCATGGAAGATGTGGCCTTGAAATCCCCCTGGGTGGAGGAGGGGGCTGAAGCCCAAGTATCTTGTTATGGGGGGGAAGGAGGACCTCTGGACCCTCAAACGAGCCTCTGTGACAGGCAGGCCCAATCCCGGCAGTGTCGTAAGGTGCTGCCTGGTGCCCAGCACCCAACAGCACAGCAGCCTGTGCGAGGTCTGCCATGCTCAGCCTGCCCAACTCCAGGCTTTGGAGGGGGAAGAAATAAGTGATGCATCAGAAGTCACTTCAGCATGAGCTATTTTTAGGAGTAATTTGATTTCTAGAGTCCTCTTTGGTTCCCACTTTGTGCACGGCTTCTCCATTTTGTGCTGGCCCTAGCGACAAACCCCTGAGAGACCTGCACTGAGCCTGACACCAACACCATCACCCCCTCCAAGGGTGAGCAACACCTTCAGAGAAACGGAAGGGATGATGGGGGAAAAAGAAAATTGCTTGTGTGGTGTTATGTGAACACACAGGCTGAAATGAAGGTCAGAGCAGAAGGCTGGACAGGTACCACCCTGCTGCCATAGCAAGTCAAATGGCGGCACAGGAGCACATGGCAAAGCGAGGGCTGCAGCCAGCCTGGGGAGACGGGAACAGTCAGGGGAAGATGTGTGTGTGTGTGTGAGAGCATACGTGTGTGTGTGTGAGAGCATACGTGTGTGTCTGTGCACAGCTGCAGTGAGGGCAGCAAGTGTTTGCCTGAGGAAGGTTGTGGAGCAGCAGAAAGTGAAAACTATTTTGACCCATCTGGTTTCTTACCTGTCCCTCCTCCTCCCTGCAGATGCACACACAGAATTTTACCACAGGAACAAGCTTGTCAGTACAAGACTGTTAAATTGCTCTCACTTAGCTGTACCTACAAGGCTGGGAGTGAATGCTGGCAGCATCGTCAGCCTGCCAGATGGGCTGAACAGCACAAACGTGTCAGTCTGATGATGGCATGCATTTCCTAGCCCACCTCTGAAATTGAGATACCCCATGGTCCATGTCATCCCCTCTGGAACAGTTTTTCTTCCCCCTAACACAGTGGGAAACTCTGTGAAGTCAAAAAATATCTGAAGATGAGCATGGCCAGTGGGGTCTAACTCAGCTCTCTGGATGCTCTCCTTGCTGAGGCAGATGAGTGATGGGGCACATCATGTTAGCAGCATCAAGTAGAGAGCAAAAGTCTGAAAATTTGATAGAAGGGTATACCCCCAGAAAGAAGCCTATATGGTTTGTTAGCCAGATGCAAAATGATGCCAGATTCAGACTGTACACATATGAAGAAAAATCCTTGAATATGCGGTACATATTCATATGAGAATACAACATAAAATAATATTGACTCATCTCTATTAGCATTTCACACTGTGGTATACCTTTCTCTTTAGCTTTTGTCCTTAATAAATGTATACCAGAAGCATAACCTGACATTCATAGTCCTACTGGAGTTATTGGGTACTTATTATTTTTGAAAAGTGGACATGTTTAGAGGCCTGATTAGGGCCTAAGGTCCCCTAAAATGCTGATTTAAGGACGTCACTGCTCAAGAACTGGATGTGAAGTGTCCAAAGAACTACCTGTAAAGAAATCTTATTGCCTAATTCTTCTTCGTGCCTGTGACAAGCATCCCACCCATGACATCCACTGGAACCAGAAATCATATTCTCTGTTATCTAAATTGAAGGTAATTTCCTTGTCTCCCCTCCAGAGAGGATTTACTTAATTGTCCATGAGTTGGAGCACGCCATCCTTGAGATAGACACAAAAAGGGCACCTCGCTTTTGTTATTCTTGCTTCCTAGCTACCTTCTGATTGTGAATGGACACCAGTAGGAAACAAGCCAGGGGAGCAACTGTGATGATAGCATCCAGGCAGCGTCCCCGGATTGTGGTGGTGCATTTCTTTCCCCCTCTCCACGCTGATTTACGAACTCGGGAAGGCTCGCTAGGCCTTAGCATAAGGGTACAAAAGTGAGGTAGGGCTTCCCCTCTCCTTCCCCATCCTCTCTTCCCTCTCTGGGTTTGTCCCTGAGGCCTCCTGGCCATATCAGGCTAAGGATGGCTCTAACACTGCCTGCCTCGTCCCTCTCAGACCTGCCCCTGTCACCAGTGGCAAGCAGCAGCTCTGTGCTCTTGTCCCCTCCAGGCTGCCCATGGGCTGAAAGCCGTGGTGCCCAGCCCATTTGTGTGCTCTGAGACTGCGCCAGGAGGCAACCCGCAGCACAGCAGCAGCAGTCAGGAGATGTGCTGTAAAAGCACGTCCTCTTCTGAACTGGACCACACGTGTATAATGCTGGGGATGCCCAGGAAAGTTAGGCTTGATGTTCCTCGGTTTGGACCCCTATAGCGAACAGTCGTGAAACTGTTGCTCTATCCCTCCATGCTTTCGTGGTTTTGCAGCATCAAGGCAAATGCTGAGTGACAAAGACAGGCTGCTGCTGTAGGCTGAGAGCTTGTCTGTGCTTTCATGTGCTGATGAAGGGACTTAGCAAGGCAGGTGAAGGAGGTGCAAACTAGCCTTTCTGCTTGCGAGGCCTTAGGCACGGGCAAGGTCTTCTGTTACTGTATGGTGGTGCTGTCTCAGAAGAACATGGTGATGTTCTTATGCTGTCAGGTGGCATTACTGTGCGTGAGTCTCTGGCTGGCCCTGGCTCCTTCAACCCCCATGAACTGGTCTGAGCCTAACTGATTATGATAATGCAGCTGATATGTAGTGAGATGGGAGGGATGAACTGCTTTCATGTTCTTTTCAGAGTAACTAGTTGAGAAGTGGATTCTCCTCTGTCCCATTCACACGTATATGACATAAACCCACCTTGTCAACATGCTTCAAAAACAGTTGTTCATGGTTCCAGCGTCTCAGAATCATTTAAAAACTTGGGCAGCAAAAATAAGCCACTGGGCTGAGACACAAAAATATGTATTTTATTTCCCATGCTACCTTTAGTCTGCTGTGTTACTTTTTGCCTCTTTCCCCTCCCAGCCCATGTCTACATAGCCAGTGAGCACTTCAGGGCAGGGACCTTTCCTCCTTTTGTAATTTTAGACTTCTGATGTTCCCTAGCAAGGCCACACAGTGCAAAATGTCTGGGCATAGCCCCTGCCTCAGAAGTGCATTTGGGAAAAGGCATTTCCAATTGCTCTCTTATGCTTCAGCCATTGCACCAGAGTCTCCTGCTCTTGCCCCGCTGCCCTACCAGCAAGACCTGCTTCTGGCAGTAAGGCAGTGCCCTGAACGTTGAGTTTTGGGCATCAGTGCTGGGGCCACCCATCTTTCTCCACCACCCCCAGCACATGCAGCCATTGCTCCCAGCATCCCACACACAGGGCACTGGCCGTGGGTTGTACCTGCCCCCCCCTCCAGTGTTTACGGGTGTGGGAGAGTGGGCTCAGTAGGATGTGGAGCATTTCACAGAGATGCCCAGGCTCAGTGGCCTCCTGCTCCCCTTGGGAAGGAGGTGGGAGGGCTGGTCCCTGCCTGCTGCCAGCTCCTCCATCACTGCCTGGGTACACAAGTGGGGGCTGAGCAGTGACCCCCACCCCAAGGCACTTTTTTGGTGCTTCACCAAATTCCATTGTACCACTTAGCTAAATAACAAATTTACCAATTACCCATGAACAAAGTCCCTATTAATGAAGCAATTAGGATACCAATTATCAGTTACATACCAATTACCCATTTCATTAGTAATTATGTTATTAGGCTACCAGTCACCACATTCAATATGCGAGCTAAAAATTATCACAAACCCTTTATTTTAAAATACCAAATAAAACCATAATGAAATACAGAACATAATGAAATACACATAAACAGTAGGCATAATGTTAGGCAAAGAGTGGATGTTTTTACTGCTGTATTATATTACATGTAGCAGCTAAAATTAAGTTGCTATTTTTGAATTTAACATTTTATTTTTATCTAAATAAAATGTTTTGTAAGTTTGAAATTTTTTTTTCTAAAACCAACACTTGAGAACATTATTCTACAGGGAATTTGGTTCTCTTCCAGTCTTACATGGAGTGAGAAAAATTAGGATTCTTTTTCTAACAAATACAAATACCATACCTAATTTAAATAATCTATTTTCCCTCCTAGCTGTCCAATGAAGTCCTGAACACTAGCTAAAGTCCCATGCCAAAGTAGTATTTCTGGTATCATACAAGACTTTCCAAAAGTGTTTAATTTTAGCTCTTGATCCTTGATGGAACCAATAAGAGAAGCGCTTGCCAAAATCAGAGGTGGCCTCAGGATGGAAACAGGAAAAGGTGGAAACTTCAGAAAATAAATTAAGCCAATACCTAAAGTAAGAGCCCTAAACTTCTCAGAACAGAGCTAGTACAACTGTTGGCAGTTTTCTGCAAAGACTGGCAAGACACCTTGTGAAAATGATGAAATTTGGCTTCCAGCATTAGGGACTCTCTGCCAAGGTTGAGCTTATCAGCCTTCCCCTTGGTGGCATCACAGTCATGGCTTCTGCCTAAGCACGGCCACTATTTCAGGCGGAAATACTTGGCCATCTATTGCCTGGACTCTGTAGGAACGGGCTATCTTTAGGAGTTGAAGCTT